TTCCCAGATTTACTATGTTTGAAAAATAACTTGTGTAAGTTAAGGTATAAAATGTGATGATATGATACATATATTGTGAAATGATTACCACAATAGGATTAGTTAAGACCTTTATCCCTCATATAATTACTTTTGTGTGTGTGTGTGTGTGTGTGTGTGTGTGTGTGTGTGTGTGATGAGAACATTTAGGATCTACTACTGTCTTAGCAACTTTCAAGTATATACTACAGTATTGTTAACTATAGTCACCATACTGTATATTGGAGCCCCAGAACTTGTTCATCTTTTATTTGGAAGTTTGTACGTTTTGACAAACATCTCCCATTTCTCCCATCTCTTAGCCCCTGGCAACCACCAGTCTGTTTCTATTAGTTTGGATTTTTTAGGTTCCACATATAAGGGAGATCACACAGTATTTGTCTTTTTCTGTCTGACTTATCTCACTTAGCATAATGCCCTCAAGATCCTCCCATCCATGTTGTTGCAAATGTCAGGATTTCCTTCTTTCTCATGGCTGAATAATATTCTATTGTGTATGTCGACTCTGGGCATGACCAACCCTCTGGGCATGACCAACCGTCTGGGCATGACCAACCCTTCCTACCACCTTTTAGGGAACACCTAACTTCTTTCCTTTGGTTCTCAAGTCTTCCCAGTTTGGCCCCAAGCCACCTCCAGTTGATCATCTTACCCCAGTATTGCTGTAATTTTCAGGTTCTTGTGTACTTCCTCAACTCTGCGGCATTGACTGTGACTTTCCCCTCTCCTTGGTGTTTTCTCTTGGGCAGCTATAACATTGAGCTAAATCCTTCTCACCTTCAGGCCTCCCTTTGTCCCAGGGACTATCTCTGTCCCCACCGTCCCTCCTGTTCGGATAAGAACCCCATGATGCACCAGCTTCACTCACCAGTTTCTCAGTTTCTAGCCCTCATGCTCCTGCTACAAGTAAGTGGTTGATGCCTTTACTCCCTGTGAGGCTATAAAACCCACACAGGATCCTCAGCCCCTAGCACAGGGTCTAATATAAATAAATAAACAAACAAATAAATAAATACACACATACACAGCCTTCATCCGTCTTCTTTATCCTTTTATTGATAGATGAACACAGATTGCTTCTATAGCTTCTCTATTGTGAAAAATGCAATGAACATGGGGGTGCAGATACCTCTTTGAGATCCTATTTTTTTTAAAGATTTTATTTATTTATTTGAGAGAGAGAATGAGAGCCAGAGAGCACGAGAGGGAAGAGGGTCAGAGGGAGAAGCAGACTCCCTGCTCAGCAGGGAGCCCGATGTGGGACTCAATCCCAGGACTCCAGGATCATGACTTGAGCCGAAGGCAGTTGCTTAACCAACTGAGCCACCCAGGCGCCCTGAGATCCTATTTTTATTTCCTTTGGGTATATCCCCAGAAGTGGGATTTCTGGGTCATATGGTAGTTCTACTTTAATTTTTCTGAGGAAACTCCACACTGTTTTTCATAGTGTCTGTACCAATACCCATACCCATCAGCAATGCCCAGGATTCTCTTCTCCACATCCTTGCCAAGACTCGTTATCTCCTGTCTTTTTGATACTAGCTATTCCACAGAGTGTAAGGTGAAATCTCATTGTGGTTTTGATTTGAATTTCCCTGATGATTAGTGATGTTGAACATCTCTTTTCATGTACCTGCTGGTCATTTGCATGTCTTTTTTGAGAGAATATCTATTTGGTGCCTCTGCCCAATTTTTAATCAAGTTGCTTTTTGCAATTGAGTTGCACACTTTCCTTAAGTATTTTGGATATTAACCCCTTACATAGATGGTTTGCAAATATTTTTTCTTATTCCATACATTGCCTTTTCATTTTGTTGATCTCTATTAGATTCTTGTGTAGTGTTTAAAAAATATTTCCAATTATAAATATTGAAAAAAACTCTTGACCCCATTTTGACCTCTAACTACCACATCATTTCCTTTGTTCAATTTATTTCCAAACTCTTTAAAATAATTTTCTTTTTTTTAAAAGATTTTATTTATTTACCAGAGAGAGAGAGAGAGAGAACACAGCAGGGGGAACAGCAGGCATAGAGAGAAGCAGACTCCCCACTGAGCAGCGAGCCCAATGCTGGGCTCCATCCTAGAACCCTGGGATCATGAGCTGAGCTGAAGGCAGACACTTTAACTGACTGAGCCACCGACGCGCCCCTAAAATAATTTTCTATATTTTCTCTTAAATTTCTATCCTCTCATTCTCTCTTGAACCAGGTTTTTCCCTCTTCTGCTCTCCTGAAATTGTTCTAGGAATGGTCTTCAAAGACCTCAAAGACTTAGCATGTGCTAAATCATTGGCTATTTCTTGTTTTTTATTTTAATTGGCTTTTTAGAAATAATTGATTCATTCTTTTAAGAAGCTTTTTAGGACATCATATTACCTAGTTGTCTCCTAACTTTTCTGTCACTTCTTATTAGTCTTGTACACTGGTTTCTCATCTCATCAATCTTTGGATTTTGACATCCCAGATATAAAGATTAATCCCAGAAATTTTACCTCTACTTATTTCCAAGGTGATCTCATTCAATCTTATGGCTTTAAATAGCATCTAGAAGTTGATGATTCCAAGTTTTTATCTCTAGCCTGAACCCTCTGTCTTTAACATTAAACAAACATTCAACTGCCTAATTGGTCTTTCCAATTAAATATCTAACCTAAGATGTCCAAACTGAGCTTCTGACATGTACACTCTCACCAAAACTGCACCTCCCACAGTTTTCCCAACTCATTTAATGGCAATTGTATTTTTACAATTACCCAAATACAAAGCCTTGGGTCATCCCTAGTGTGCAAGGATGCAAGTCACATCCTCACTTTCTGTTCCCAGCAGATCATTTGGCTAGGTAGACTTCCGAATGCATCGAGAATTTGATTATTTCTTAACATACCCACTTTTACCACCAGGTAGAGGAAGACTCCCAGGGGTATCAGAATGATAGAAATTAAGAGAAGAAAGATTTTAATGTGTTGCTATAAACCGCATAGAAGGACCACCTTAAATTGTTGGAGGATATATGGATAAAAATTGAAATTCCCATTTGGAGGACCGGATAATACAGATCGCACCTATAATTTTATATTTATTTAATTATAATATATTATCATTATCATTTACAGATGAGCAAACTGAGAGCTAGTTTAGTAACTTGTCCAAGATTACATGAATCAATAGCAAATCCCCTAGGATAACAACCAGAAATGCCTTCTTCCAGAAATCTCAGTGTTTTCCAGAAATGAAATTTTAAACTATAAAATTTAGAATAAAATGCTGTCTGCTTAAGACAGACAAGAAATAAGTTGGGATGTCTAGGTTACATATTTTATTATTTTCCAACATTTATTAATGAATACATAGTATGGTTACCAGCCTATTACAGGTTTGAGGAGACACAAAGGAAAAGAATATAATATTTCTTAAACCCTCACAATTTACTTGAAATCTAGTGGTGGCTCCAAGAAAGAAGTAGTTATAGCTGTTGTCAATAAACTGGTTTGCTGTCTTTCCCAACAAATGTTGTTGGCACTCTGGGTGTCTTCTCAGACCCATCAAAAAACTGTTTTTTTCTCATTTCTTATTGCATTCAACATTTACATCTTGCTCTCCATCCCTGGAACTCTTTATACAATTTTTTAAAGATTTTATTTATTTATTTGACACAGAGAGACACAGTGAGAGAGGGAACACAAGCAGGGGGAGTGGGAGAGGGAGAAATAGGCTTCCCGCAGAGCAGGGAGCCTGATGCGGGGCTCGATCCCAGGACCTGGGATCATGACCTGAGCCGAAGGCAGACGCTCAACAACTGAGCCACGGAGGTGCCCCACATTTTTTTCCTTCTCTTTTCAGATTCTTGAATTTGATCCTCATATCTGATTGTTGATCCTGCAGAAGTACAGACTTTGGTTACCCTTCTTGCCTCTAACTTAGACATTGTACTTGAATTAAACATATATTTTTATTTGTTTGTTTTTGTTTTTTAGGTACACATCACTTAAATCTCCAGAGGCAATATGATGCCTGTCCTGGAACAAGCTGTTTAAACTAGATATTATCATGAGGTTCACTAGATCTCTAGTGAAAAAAAAAATTTAAAAATTAAAAAAATAAAGCTGTAATCTTGGGCCAGTCGTTAAGTTAGTTAAAAAAAAAAGTAGCAAAATGTTTGGGAGCTTGGTAAAATATTGATAAATGGTTGATTGGTCCTTTGTTTTTAGCTGGAAAACAAATTCTAGTCTCTATGTTTTCCCCTTAACTTTTATCATTACAGAGACTATTTGTGCTGTCTAGTATTTACATTGAGAATGAAACAACAGATCTTTATGCATTTTTCCATCCCATTCAGAACTAAGTACAAAACTGCCAAGATAATGTTTTGAGTCTAGACTCTTGCCAAAGTTCAGATTGTATTTAAACCCAGTGTAATAGTATTAGTATTAAATAATATTCAATTAATATGCCTTCTTGCACGAACAGAACTTGGAGAGAAGAAAGGAATGGCCAATGAATATCGTCATGCTGTACTGTAGCTTGTGCCCTCATCTTGTACTGAGGTTTCCTGTTTCTCAATGTCAATAACAAAATGATGACATTTAGATAACTGATAAGTCTATGGATATTAATTTTCATCAATCAAATTTCTAATAAGGTCATGGTTAAGTTGGCAAATGTTCAATTGTGTAAATTTAGGTAAACCATGACAGATCAAAAGTGGTTCTAAACTGAAGCAAAGGTGACATCCATATGATAGGAAATTAACGAAAGATATACCTCTATCATAAAACCTCTAACTTGAGAATATAAGAAAGGTCTTAGCTCATTCCATTGAATGCATAATTAATATCTACAGAGGAAGATATCAATATTGGCATATGTGTTTATTTATTACAGAAATTCTAATTTATTCCTATACCTCTCTGCACTGGTGTACAAACTTCTTTGATCACAGGTACATCTTCCTTTTCAAAATTAATCTTCTTCAAATAACCTCTCAATGCAGCAAATTTTACTTGGTGAGAGACATATATCAATTTGCTTTTCATATTTAAAGCAGCGTCTTCTACAGTAACCGAAAGATTTTGTGCACCGATCAGGATCCACCAAGGTACATGTGGCTATAGTAAAAGAAGAGTAACCGACATTACTGATCTCTTACTTAAGAACATATTATTTTTGATGACAAAAAGTACTATGCATACATTGTAATGAACTTATAAAATGCCAAAAAATAAGAAAGCACTAAAATATTACATACTTCCATATATATATATATACAAAGTTTGAACATGTTTTAAATTAATATATATTACATTTTTATGCCATACATGATTCTCCTCAATAAGATTCAAAAACTTTTTAGAGCTACATAATATTCCTTTGAAATATATGACAGTTTGTCCATTTTTTCCATTAGGTCATATTTAAAATTTTAATATTTTAAGATTATAATAAGCAAATTTGTAGTACATATTTTAATACTTACATGAGACATATTTAAGATAATTGTGGAAGAGTTAGATCCCAACGTTATTAATTTATATATTGCACCAGCAATATATGTAACTTTTGCCCCCAAATAAAATAGTGTCCACTGCAGTTTTAATTTTTATGCTGTTAGTATTTGTTTCGAACAATTTTTCTTTTTTCTTAATAGTTCATATACTTTCCTTATTATGTTATTATATAATTTTTTAAAAGAATTCATGAGTTCTCTTTAAAAATTTTTTAAAGGCTTTATTTTTAGAGCAGTTTTAGGTTTACAAAAAAATTGCAAGAAAGGCACAGAGATTTCCTATATACTCCCTGCCCCTAAATATGCATAACCTTCCCCATTATCAACATCATCCACCAGAAGGGTACATTTTTTACCAAGGATGAAGCTACATTGACACATCGTAACCACCCAAAGTCCATAGTGAAAGCTTCAAAATAGTTCATTCTTCGTGTTGTGCATTCTATGGGTTTGGGCAAATGTGTAATTAAATATATCCACTATTATAATATTATACAAAGTATTTTCAGTGCCCTAAAAATCTTCTGGGCTCTGCTTATTCATCTCTCCCCTCACTCCTCTGGCAACTATTGTCTTTTTTACTGCCTTCATAGTTTTGCCTTTCCAAGAATGTTATATAGTAGAAATCATATCATACACAGCATTTTTAGATTGGCTTCTTTCACTTAGTAATATGAATTTAAGGTTCTTACATGTCTTTTCATGATTTGATAGCTCATATTTTTTAGCATTAATTAGCATTTCGTTGTCTGGATATATCGCAGTTGATCTATCCATGTACCTACTGAAAAATATCTTGGATGATTCCAAGTTTTGGAATTTAGGAAATTAGGAAATTAGGAATAAAGCTGTTTATAAACATTCATGTGCAGGTTTTTGTGTGGGCAGAAGTTTTCAACTGCTTTGGGTAAATACCAAGGAGCATAATTGCTGTGATATGGTACCAGTATGGTTAGTTTTTTTTTTAATATTTTATTTATTTATTTGAGAGAGAGAGAGAGAAAAAATGAGTAGGGAGAGGGACAGAGAGAGGGAGAACCACAGTTTCCCAGCTGAGGATCCTGGGATCCATGACCTGAGCCAAAGGCAGACCCTTAACCGACTGAGCCATCCAGACACCCCCAGTATCTTTAGTTTTATAAGAAACTGCCAAACTGTGTTCCAAAGTAGCTATATAATTTTGCAATCCCATCAGCAGTGTATGAGAGTTCCTGTTGCTCCATATACTCACCACAATTTGGTTTTGCCAGTATTCCAAATTTTAGCTGTTTTGATAGGTATGTAATGTTATCTCGTTTCAATTTACATTTCCCTGATGACATATGACGTGGAACATCCTTTCCTATGCTTACTTGCCATTTGTATAACTTCTTTGATGAGATGTCTGTTAAGTTTTTTGGCCCTTTTGTTTTTATTTTGTTTTGTTTTCTTATTGTTGAGTTTTAAAGGTTCTTTGTATGTTTTGGATAATGGTCCTTTATCACATGTGTCTATTGCGAATATTTCTCCCAGTTTGTGGCTTGTCATCTCATTATCTTGTTGTTATATTTCTCAGGGCAGAAGTCTTTAGTTTTAATGAAGTCCAGCTTATCAATTCTTTCTTTCGTGGATCATGCCTTTGGTGCTGTATCCAGAAAGTCATTGCCATTCGCAAGGACATCTAGGTTTCTTCTATGTTATGTTCTAGGAGTTTTATAATTTTGCATTTTACATCTGGACCTACGAGCCATTTCAAGCCTATTCACTAGTCTAGATTCACTTTTTCACATGTGGATGTCCACTTGTTCCAACATCAGCTGTTGAAGAGACTGTCTTTTCTTCATTATATTGCCTTTGCTCTTTTGTCAAGTATCAGTTGACTATATTCATAGGGATCTATTTCTGAGATCTCTGTCCTGTTCTATTGATCTATTTGTTTACTCTTTGACCAGTACCACACTATTCTTTTCAGATATATGAATATAATGGTATGAATTTTCTTGTAAGCTCTACTGTAGCTGTGTTCTATGACCTTTGTGCTCTCATTTTTATTACTTTTCAGATGACAATATTTTCTGACACTCATTGGTATTTCTTCTTTGAATTAGGTTGAGTTTCATTAATCTTCATGTTTATATCTTCTTATTCTTACATTTATGTTGTTTGTTTTTCTCTGTTTTCTGTGTAACTGAGGAAGGTGTGTTATCATCACCCATTATTATGGTGTTCTCTACTCTTTTTGTCTTTCTATCTTTTTTTACATATTTCAAGACTAAGTTATTTGCTGCATTAAATTTATGGTTGCAATATTATCCTGTTGAATTGAATCTTTTATTACTACGAATAATCATTCTTTGTCTCCAGTAATGCATTTTTTTCTTACTGTTTACTTTATATAATATTAATATAGCTACTTCACCATGCTTTTGTTGGGGTTTTATATCCTTTCCTATCCTTTAGATTTTATAATTTCTCTTTTCTCATATATTAGATATTTCTCATATAAACTATTCACTACATTCAAAACTATATTCACTACATTCAAAAGATTCACTCTTATTTTTTAACTTTACACTAACATTTATAATAGTAATATATTTTGGATGAAATATATCCTGTTATTTTTTCCTATCTTCTTTTCTATATATTGGTTATTTTTTATAATCCCATCATATAATTTACCATTGTGTAGTTATATTATCTTTTACTCTTCTTTTGTGTTTATGCTAGAAGTTTCAACTTACCAAAGTCTTATTAAAAATCATTGCTTGTTTGTTTTTTGTTTTTTTCTTTTGCTTTTTGTTTCTTCCTGTGTTTCTGAGCTTCCACATAGAAAATCATTCTCTTTCTGGCCAATCTTTTAAGAATTTCCCTTAACACAGGAGTTCTGATGTTGAATTCTCTGTTTTTATTTGAGAATATCCTTATGTTATCTTCACTCCTAGAGGGTATTTTCATTTGATACAGAATTCTAGATTATAGTTGTTTTCTTTCAGGACTCTGAAGATATCACAACCTTGTCTTCTGACTTCTTTCTTTGTTGTTTTTTGAAAAGTCAACTTTCAGTTTAATATCTGACCCTTTGAAAATGATATGTTGTTTTCTTCAACTTTTGCTTCACTTTATTGTTTTGTTTTTTTTAGCAGTTTGCTATGCTTTTTCTTCCTTCCTTCCTTCATTTCTTCCTTTCTTCCCCCCTTCCTTCCTTTCCTCTTTCTTACCTTCCTTCTTTCCTTCATCCTTTCCTCCCTCCTTCACCTTTTTTCCTGATTTTCAACCTCTAATTTTCTCTTGTTTCATTCCAGATATTTTCTTCTGGTTCATCTTTCATCATCATTAAATATCTCACTGATTATGTAAAAGCAACTATTTAAAACATTCAATATGTATTTAATTTTGCTTTATGAATTTTTCAGTTCTGGAATTTTATTTTTGCTCCTTGTTGTAGTCTTCACTTCTATGCCAAGTTTTTACTTTTGTTTTTCTTTATTTAAACAAGTTAAGCACAGTTATTTTAAAGTCTAGGTCTGGTAACTTCAGTCTCTGGATCCCTTGTTAATCTCTTCTCTTGTATGCTGGTTTCAATTTTTGATAGGATAGTTTTGTTTTCATTTGTTCCTGATTATTTTTGTCACATAAATTTTTAATGAAAGATTGAGGAAGCTTGAGGTCTAGAATGATGTTATCTTTCTCCAGAATGATTTATTATTGTTCCTTGTTGATGGCTAAGACTACCTGGATAATTTTAAACCATTTATAGAACTTGAGATAATGTAAAAGTGGGTATAAGTTCCTGGGACGGCTGGATGGCTGGACTAATGTCCTTTTAACTTAGACCTAGTTTGTAGTCTTTTGGGATCCTCAGCCAAAGCACACCTTTGCAGGCTCTGAATTGCAATTTTTGCCCCAGTGGTAGCATAAGGCTATCAAATTTCTGCTTTTCAACTTCTTTCCTGTGTCTTTAAGAATAGTCAGATGCTTCTAGGGAGAAGAATGCTTCTAGCCTCAGAAGTTGATCTCAACTTGATCTTTTCACTGTAACTTTTAACTGACCCGTTTACTCTGCAAGGCCTTTAAGCAATTATTTCATGTTTTTTGTTTTGTTTTGTTTTTTTGTCCATATATCCCCCTCAGTGCATGGGAGAGGCTATATGAAAAAAACTGTTATAATTTTATATTATGTTTTAATATCAGGTTGCTGCTATGTGAAACAGACTACTATAATTTTTATTGTAAAGTTTTAACATCGAGTAGAGCAAACAAATCACTAATTTTTCAAAATCTTTGTAGGGTACAAATTGATAGTTTTTCTAACTGCAGAGTTTACAGCTGTGGACTTTAAGCTTGAAGTTTAATGCTGTTATTTGCTAGCTAAGTAACTTTGGGTAAGCCCTACAAGTCTCAGTTGCTTCATGTGTAAAATGGAGAAAATGGTATCTCATTCACAGAGTCTCTATGAAACATGATGAATTAACACATAAACAGGTGTACAACAGTGCCTGGAACATAATAGTTTCTCACAGATTAAGAACTGTTATTAATTAATGAACAAAAGACTATAGTTGAAATTAAATCATTATTGACTACAACTTTTAGACCAGGTGGTGGGCTTTTTCTGGAGGTAAAGCAAAACACTGAGCCAAAGAGAGAAAGAGAGAGAGAAAGAGAGAGATAGGCTAATTAAGTACCATGATAGAGAAATATATTAGGTCTAATGTGTGAACAGATGAGTGTTTGCTTAATGTCATGGTGTTGCATCATGGAAGAGTGATATGAAAATTTAACCTTAAAAAATGAGCAAAGGTTATTCAAATGCACAGGAGGAGTATAAAAAGAACAAGAACCAGTCAGACAAGTAGTATGATTCTCATCCTAGAGCTGAAAGAGCATATTAATGTTTAAGTTCAAAAACTAATAATAACACAAATATATTTCCTTCATTGAAAACCTACTCTGTGTCAGGTATTGTTTTGAATATTTTGCATATATTATCTCATTTAACTGCCATAAAACTTTGAGGTTGATGTTGTTCAGATAAAAAACCTGAGGCTTTGAGTGACCAAATAATTTGCCCAAGGTTGCAAAACTAATACATGCTTAACCCAGGGTTCAATCTTAAATGGTTCCAAACCAGAATTTGCATTTTAAATATGTAATCCATGGCCTCTACATTGAAAAAGTTGGAAAGTGACATATGACAAACACTCAACAGATCTGGATATTGTCTCAAATTTGATATTGCTTATGGTTGCTCATTGTCTCTAGGACCTTTAAGTATTTTATGACTACGGAGGGAGATGAAGATGTGAAAATCAGAAGTTGAGCACTGAATGACAAAATAGAATTTTATTAAGATGAATATGTTTACCCATACAAAGAATCAATAGTAATACATACTTAATATACTCTATATATGCTTAATAAGTGGGTTTCCTTTCTGCAACCTGAACGTAGGAAAAATTTTACCTTAGACAAATTTAAATAAAATAATTTTAGCTCCTCTATGTGGAATTATTTGTCAGTTCCCTTGACTTTGATGTCTTAACTCAAAGTTGGATAACTGAGAATTTAAGGTCACTTTCTGTTCCCCATCTCTTACCGGCCTCTTATTCAGAGCTTAGAATTACGTCCTTTTTTTCTTTTTCTTTTCTATTTCTCAAATATTGTCAGTCTGGTAAGGGTTGCGCTTGTCTCTTATCTTATGGCTGGCACCTGGATCTCTACTATTGAAGATACTTCCTATCAATTAATAGTACCATCATGTAAAAGTCATAAGATGTTCTAAAATATTAATATTTGTGTTTTATTTTCCTTAGCTTATTCAAGGATATTGAAGCAGGTATAATTCTTTAAGTCAGGTGGATGAAAATACAGAAAAATATTAAGACTAATTTGCAAATTACCTTAACAAGTACAAATTAATACAAACAAATCATTGCCACAAGAGAAGCACTAATGTGGTATTCATCTGTCATATAGCATCTTTCTGGATTGGTTGAGAAGTTACTTAGCTAGTCAGTGAAATCCTGGCCTATTGGAAGAGGTTATTTATTTTTATGAGCTCTACTTTTCTCCCAACATTTTATTGGTAATTCTCATTTGTAACCAAATCAACTTGATTTTAAATTTAATAAAATCTAGAGCACCGGGACCATTACTGTCTCCCCACCAACGTTTCAACACAGGTGAATGTCTCTCCTCCACTATTTTAGACTCAGCCTCCCATGCACCAAGCAATATATCTTAAAGTTTCTAAGGCCACCATGTTTCTGTCATTTAAGGTCCATTCTGAGACATCTAAACAAGTGGCTATACTGAGACAGTACCTTGTATTCTTTCTCAACTACTTCCTCTCCTCTTTTTCTGTTTTCTACTTCTACTTCTATTTTTTCCATTTCTTGAAATACTGCAATATGATATTGAATGATAAATGTTCTGCTTACATTATCTCTGAATCTTTGCAAAACCTTGTAAAATTAATGGTATTACCCTTCCATTGTACAGTTAAAGGAATTAAAGCTTCTCCACACTACAAAGGAGCCTCAGGTCCTTAATATAAACTCTGATCTATTTGATGACAAGCTCACTCTATAAACCACTAGTATGTTGTTTTCACTATCTCTATGGATTATTTTATGCTTGTACTAAAATACTGACTAAAATGCTGCTCATTCTGTCATGTTTTAACCATCTTCAGTATTGTTCTCTATCAATTTTCTATAACTCTCCCTCCAGCACGGTATCACTCTGCTTGGATCACTCATCTTACATCTTCATCAAGTATCTACTTAGACTGACTACTTTTTATTGTTTCTTTAATGACTTTAAGGTTCTATCAATAGACAAACCACACCATTGTGCAATTGATATGTACTACTCTATAAACAGCTTCAAAGCCACTCACTCCGATACCTTGTATTACCTTTCCTATTTTTTTGATCCAGCAAAGGCCAAATGTAGAGCATTCTGTCCATTTCAGTACACATTATAACTTAGTATCTGTTTGAATGATCAAAAGGTAAAGGTGGTCATATTCATACGCTAAGTGTCTTCATTACATTATTTAAAGTTTTCTGCAATGCTCAGCAAATGGTATAGTCCCCACACACCTGAAGCACACCTATATTCCCATGTGACCTCACTGTTTTTGGCCAAATAATCTATTCATCTTGTACTTTAGCCTCAGGACCTTCTACAGACAGCATGATGAAATATAAAGAACAAATATGCTAGGATTTGGTATTCCAATGTTTATATTCCACTTATCACACAGTATAACAGGTGTGACCTTGAAAAACTCTCTCCTTTGATGTCATTTTCCTCTTGTATAAAAAGAGGCAATAACAGGTATCTCAGAGTGTTATCTGGAAGGTCAGATTAGATATCTACATGAGAAATTACAAAATGGGGTTTGGCACATGCTAGACATACATATTTACTTCTTGTCTTTTCTTTCTTTCTCTCACCTTCCAAGGTCTAAAGACAAGTTTCTTATCCCCAGTTTCAAAGCTCTTCATCAGAGAATTCAGGACATTTTCCCAAACCTCCACAATTGCCATGCCATAATTCCACCATTCTTACTATTTAGAGCATACTTTTATAAACCTTCTAATTCAAGGAATTCATTGATTTATCCGAGTTTATTCAACTAGATTTTAATATGCCTGGAGAATTATTGTGTTTTTCTTTCATTTTTGTTTCCTTAGTGTCCAGCATTGTGCTCAGTAGATCGCTAACCACTCAGTATTACATGGTTATTGATGGACACGCTAGCACCATGGGCCTCAACATCCTCCCTAGTCATCTTTGAGGTCCCCACTTCCTCAGTTCCCCTTCATTATTAATAATAACTATAATATCTGGGGTGCCTGGGTGGAGCAGGCAGTTAAGCCTCTGACTATTGGTTTCAACCCAGGTCGTGATCTCAGGGTCATCATCATGAAATCTGCTTAAGACTTTCTCTCCCTCTCCCACTGGCAACTCCCCCCCCCATCACATGCATGCTCTCCCTCTCTGTCTCACTCTCTCTGAAGTAAACAAACCTTTAAAAAATGATAATCATAATAACTACAACATCAGCAACTATAATAATTATAATAGTACTAAATTGGTAGACTAATTTTCAGTTTGTAGGGCTACTTACTGGTACATTATTACACTAAATCCTAACTGCAGTCTTTTGAGGTGCATATAATTAGCAAGCACAATATTTTACATCGGACTTTTTATTTAAGATTGTGGTTGTTATTGATTCTGCTTGTATTTTCTTTTTTTTATTGTTAAAGACTTTGGCAAATCATTTAAATTCTCTGAGTGGCAAGGTTCAGAAGTTATTAAGAAGGAAGCTAGTAATAAAATCTAGATCTTCTAAGTTTGAATTCAGTTGTCTTTCTGTTACATGTTGCGCCTCTTGAATTCCCAACTTTCTAGGTCCAAATTAGAACACTTTTGGGTATCAATTTATATCTTCGTTGTTAGAGAACCTGGATCCCTTCAGAGGATAGATCTCTCAAGAATATCATAAAATCTCCAACATACACTTCATTGCAGTACGTATTTTAAATATTTATTTTTAATTGATTCATAAAGCCATTGCTGAGTTTCTTTACTCAGCAATTATTAACTAATTCAACAAGGATTTTTTGTGATACTGTTTCTTTATTTACCATTTTAGTCCTACTGTATCTCATTGCCCAGCATATTTTGATACTATATCCTGGATCATTTTATAGATTCTATTATTGATATCTCAGGAGATATTTACTGTTATTCTCAATCATTCATCTTCCCCGGGCCTTATTTGTTTGTTTGTTTGTTTGTTTGTTTTTAAAAATTATTTGAGAGAGAGAGAGGAGAGCACGCAAGCAGCAGGGGGAAAGGCAGAGGGAGAGGGAGAAGCAGACTCCTTACTGAACTCAGAGCTCAACATGGGGGCTAGATCCCAGGACACTGAGATCATGTCCTGAGGCAAAATCAAGAGTTGGATGCTTAACAGACTAAGCCACCCAGGCGCAATTTATTATGAAATCTTGGGTCTAATAAATAGACCCAATTTATTATGAAATCTTCATTTCTGAATTTTAGAAATAAATTTTTAATTTATATTTTTAAAAATAATTTAAGTATCTGAAACAATCAAGACCTAAAAAAGCCAGAGGATCTACTTTGATCATATTAATTTTCAAAATGAGTTGAAGGGGCCTGAGTGGCTCAGTTGGTTAAGCATCTACCTCTTAATTTCGGCTCAGGGTCCTGGGATCAACCCCTGTGTGGGCTCTGGCTTTGCGCTCAGCAGGGAGTCTGCTTGTCCCTCTGCCTCTCCCCCTGCTCCTGCTCTCTCTCTCTTTCCCTCTCTCAAATAAATTAAAATCTTTAAAATAAAATGAGTTGAGGGGCGCCTGGATGGCTCAGTCACTAAGCATCTGCCTTTGGCTCAGGTCATGATCCTGGAGTCCTGGGATCAAGCCTGCATCGGGCTCCCTGCATGGTGGGAAGCCTGCTTCTCCCTCTCCCACTCCCCCTGCTTGTGTTCCTGCTCTCGCTGTGTCTCTCTCTGTCAAATAAATAAACAAAATCTTAAAAAAAAAAAAGAAAATGAGTTGAGTACATTAGTATAACACTATTCTAATGAGGAAACAGAATCAACACAATCAAGAGACTTCTTTAATTTAATTGATTTGACTGTGTTATTTTTATAATCTGGTGTTTCTATTTTTAGCTAGAAGCTCTATAAACAAGCATTTATTTTACCTGGTAGGATGAAGGTCACATAACACAGAAAATGGAGGAGATGATAAAATATCTTCATTCTGCAGAAAGAAGCTGCTGAAAGATTTGGTAACAAAATCTAGAGAGTAGCACACTTTCCAAAAAGCCAGGAGACATTTACTATTTATAGTTTTCTAATGGAAGAAAAACTCTTTATCCGGAAATTGTTTTAATCTGGTGTACTTGTCTCTGCACCATTGACTAGGGCTGTGGGCAGAATTACCCAAATTGAAAATACTTCAAATTATTGATCTTTAGAGAGGAAACTCTACATGGAAGATAGCTGCACACATGACACCATTATATCAATGGTGATCAATTAAACATTGACGCAATAGGCATGCATGGAGTGGGTTTAAGAGAAATATTTACCATTTTAGATGTGAAACAATTGAACATTACCATGTCAGTTAAACTCCCGGTTACTTTTCAAAATATATTCTAGTCACGAATTTGGTATGCAAATTCATCAATATGTCCAGATATCCCAAATTCTTACTTATATCCAGTTATCTCATCCAATTCCCCAAATTACTCATTTACCAAAGGACAGATAGTGAGCCTTACTTTTGTCATTAATTTTTACTAAATTATTTTCAGATGCAACTTGAATATTTATGGAGCTCTGCTTTTTCCTAGAAAAGGCCAATTAGTCTCCATTTATTTTAAATTTTTTATCAGAATAATATAGGCACACAATAAATATTAAAAAAAGTCCTTGTAATGAATAGAAATAATTTCCTCTTTCAATCTATGTTTAGATCTTCTCTTTATTATTGGATAAGAATTAGGATCTAGCTTAATATTTTGTCCTTGTGTGGCAACCACAGAATGTATCTTTTGGTTTCCACTAAGAAAAATGTGGATTCAGGCCGTCGCCAATGTACCATCTCCAGGCAGCCCCGGGAACCTGTTTTTCCCGGGAGCGGCTATGAGTAAGCAGAACCAGGTTTCATACGTTTGTGTTTTTTTGTTTGTTTGTTTGTTTTGTTTTTGTTTTGTGGGGGCCACTGCCCTAAAACATCAAATTTATTGTGCTGTTCTTACATTCCAAACCCAACCCCCTCTCCCAGTGGGGGTCAGCAGAGGGAAGGAACCGGCGTTCCTGGCCCGCTTCAAGGAACAGGTTGGCTACAGGGAAGGGCTTACGGTGGAAACCAAGAGAATCCAGCCTCAGCTCCCAGATGAAGATGGTGATCGCAGTGACAAAGGAGATGAACAGCCCCAAGTGGTGGTTTTGAAAAAGGGAGACCTGTCAGTTGAAGAAGTCATGAAAATTAAAGCAGAAATAAAGGCTGCCAAAGCAGATGAAGAACCGGCTATAGTTGATGGAAGAACGATGTATGGAAAACCAGTCAAACGTTCTTTGGATGAAAAATATTCAGGTTTAACAGCAAGCTCAAAAAAGCGGATGAAGATGAAATAAATAAGTAGGACTCAGTTAAAAAGAACTCACAAAACCAAATCAAAAACAGTTGCCTCCTTTCTTTTGACAATGAGGATGAAACTAAGTGTAAATATTTTGGATTTAGTCGTCCTTAAGAGTATATGGGGTGTTTTTTAAAGTGACACTTTTTTTTTCTATTTAAAGATAATACAAGTTCATTATAAAAGATACAGAAAAAATTTAGTATGATAAAAATTTTGTTTATCAATACCCCTTTGACATGAGGCTAACTCTGTAGATATTAACTACTATTAATATTTTGGAACTCCCATGTGTGGGGCATGTATTTTTTAAACAAAATTGAGATTATATTGCATATGTTTTCTGTCCTGCTTTTCACATGACATTATATTCTGAGCATTTTTCCAGATCAGTAAAATTTAAAAAATTTAACATAATTGCTACAGAGGATTTTGTCATTAAACAGATCACCTATTGCATCTTCTTCATTAGCAGAAGCCCACTTTGGAGGAAGATGATAATACGCCTATTTAAGAATACTTCCCCAGCTCCTGCTAAAGGTAACCATATAACAGCTCTGGCAATTTTAGAGATAAAAGTGGATCTTGTACAAGTGAGCTTCTAATAGAAGGGATCTTGATAGAAGAGAGGATCTAATGTATAACATGGAGACTGTAGTTAATAACACTATAAAAAAGAGAGATATAAGTAGAAGTCTGCTTAATAAAGCTACCAGGTATGTGATACAAGAAAGCAGATCTGGCAAGCATGAACCTTTGTCCTCGCTACATTCTGCTACATCCAGGAGCACATACATGAAACCTAGGAGTATTGAAGCCATTTTTTGGCCTAAGGAAGGCAGATCTTTTCCCTGGGTGGTACAGTGGAAAGATTCAAGGCACTTGGATCCTGATAGCATGCCTCGAGGAGCTGCTGCACCAGCACGGACTGCCAACCTCTGGACTTCTTGTTACATGAGAAGAATAAACCAAAAGTTGTTGGTCAGTAGTACCACTTGCTGACACCTGAGAATTCAATGTCTCCTGCCCTCCTTTTCCCTTAAGAGGCCCCCTTTAGTGTTGTGCTCTAGAATTTGTCAACCTTAAAAATAAAAACCAATTATTTTTAAAAAAAAGAAAGAAAGAAAAATGTGGATTCAGATCACTTACACTCTTGTGCTGTTCTGCTCCTCAAATATTTGAAAGTTATATTAATTTTCAGGGGCGCCTGGGTGGCTCAGTCATTAAGCGTCTGCCTTTGGCTCAGGCAGGATCCCACAGTCCTGGGATTGAGCCCCGCATCAGGCTCCCTGCTCCGCGGGGAGCCTGCTTCTCCCTCTCCCACTACCCCTGCTTTTGTTCCCTCTCTTCCTGTGTCTCTCTC